ACATTTTCTCATTTCAACAACTAATTCAGGTAACTCATAGTTTCATACATTGATACCAGGAACTCATTCATACAGTTAATTCATACATTCAACAACTCATTCAAACAACTCATTTAGACCAAGCTAATTTAGACTAAGCTAATTTAGACTAAGCTAATTCATACATTCAGACAACACATTCACAGCAGCTATAGCTTCAAGGGCTCAGCACCTTTACTAAACATGGCCACCAGGAGTGCCAAAAACATAGCAAGAAGGATCCCTGAACCATAACACACCTTGGCACCTTTACTGAACAAGGCCACCAGCTATAGCTTGGCCTGTAGCTCCTTGGCCTCCAACTCCTTGGCAAGTGCCTTAGCCTAAAGCTGCTTCACAAATGCCCTGGCCTCCTCCTTCGCCTTCACCAGTTCGGCATTCGCCACATGTGCTTCATCCAGCAAAAATCTGAGTTCATTCTTCTCCAGCTCCAGAGTTTCGTTCTTGTTACGCAAGGCCTTAACTGCATCTCACAAATCAACAAGGATTTTGATCTGATGATCTATTGGCTTGGGGTCCAACCACACCCAAAAACTACATCCACCATCCTTGCATCCACAACAATTTAACAATTTGTTAGACAGACTGTTTCCTAGATTCAAATCATCCCATCACAATGTAAATTGAACTCACCCGATATTTGTAGCATGAATGGTATCTCCTTCCTGGATTCCCATTACTCCATGAGATCCACCTGGGAGTCTTCTGACCGCAGTAGTAGTTGATAGCCAGTGTGTACAAGTAGGGGGGGATGGCGATAGGGAATTGGAGAGGAGTACGGGACCGCTCCCCGGACCGCTCCATGGAGCTCTGCGACGAGCTTGAGCCAGCAGTGGTTGCCATGGAGCTCTAACCCTGGTCGGTGGAGTGAGGTGACCGATGGAGTGGTTGCACCGCGGTGGCAGGTGGTGGCTAGTGGCGCAGTGGGTGGTTGTCGGTGGTGTGGGGGCATGGCTGCGGCATGGTGGGGGTGAGGTGACCGATGGAGTGGGGGTATGGCTACAGCGTGGCGGGTCTTGGCCGGTGGAGTGGGGGCATGGCTGCAGCGCAGTTGGTGGTGGATGGTGGAGTGGGTGCTTGGCGGGGGCGGGTGCTGACCGATGGTGCAGCAGCTGGTGGCCAGTGCTGTGGGTGCACAACGGGGGCGAGTGCTGACCGGTGTTGAGTGGCAAGGCATCAAAGCTACTCTGGTGGCGCCTGGCCGATTTGGGGAATTCAGGGATTTGGGGAGGATTGGGGGGATATCAGACCATTGGGACTAGAGGCTAACAGGGTTGGTCCATTAGGGTCAGCCCTTCATATGTCTAGACTAAGTTCAGCATGGGGTGAGGCTGACTGGTGGGTCCATGATGGTCAAATTGTGGTCAAATCCATGATTTCAGCTCATTTTGAATCTAATCTGAACTAGATTTTCAATGCAATGTTTAAGTCTAACATTAAAGTACAATAATAATTGTAAAACTCACACTCTAATGGTCATCGTATGGTCCATATCAAGTGTATAAGTACACCAAGCATGTATATGAAATGCATACGATCTTACACATCATATAGCTATGCGTGTTGATATAACCTAGCATGTATATGATCTTATCAATTGAAGTGCATAACTATGTGTGTTGATATAACCAAGCATGTATATGATCTTATCTTATGAAGGCCTTAGCTATATGAAGTGCATATTTGCTATATGTCTGTGTTATATAGTATCAAAGCATTATGAAGTAATCAAAGCATATGCACCTCATATATGATCTTATGAAGTGCTAATCAACTCATTCATGCACACATTGTGGCTGTGAAAACCCCCTACTGCCCTCTAGCATGACGGCTCCTGAAATAGTAGACTAGGGACAAAATAGTAACTTCACCGAGGACTGTATATTTGTCCATGCCCTCCCATCGGGCCGAGACCTAGCCGCAGCCACCTCATTTTGTTTTCGCCGTTCCACTGCCGCCGCACCTCCTAGATCCACTCTACCACCGCACCTCCTCCTGCATCCACTCTGCCGCGGCCTCCTAGACCCACTCTGTCGCCACTGCCTAACTCCACTCCACCAATCTTCCTCCTAGATCCACTCAGCCATTGCCCTAGATCCACTCTACCGTCGCCACCGCTGCCATCCTAGAGCCACTCTGCCGCCACCCTCGCATACAGCCACTATGCCGCCACCTAGATCCACTCCTCCACTGCCTAGATCCACTTCGTCGCAACCCAGAAGTGCGACATTCAATGGAGATGGAGACGGAGGAGCCGTGACATGCGACGTCCACCCCACCAGAGACGGAGACATAGGAGCCACACCACTCCATCGAGCCACACCACAACGTCCACACCACCGGAGACAGAGACATAGGAGCCGCACCACTTCATCGAGCTGCACCACGACGTCCACCCCATCGGAGGCAACCATCGATGATGCATAAACGGGCTGCACCACGCCGCTGCCCCTCGAGACTAGGTTCTACCAAGCGCTTCTCATTTTAGGGTTTAGGGTTTTGTTCTTCATATTTGGTTCCTCTGTGTAGCGCCGTCTTCTAGTTGTCTAGGTAGGCCTTCTACTAGATAGGGTTTAGGGTTTAAGTTTAGGGTTTAGGGATCAATTGGACTAAAATTTGTTTACAAATAGGGTACTATGTATGGCTTTGGGACATGCAAATCGAGGAGAACAATAAGAAGATGGCAGCTTTGGGTCTCCCTACCTTGGCCGCTTCTCTTTGTAATGCAAGTTCTCAAAATCCGAACAAGCAAACACACAAGAATGGTCCTGATGAGCGGTCAGATTCATCCGAATATCTTCTTGGAGCTGAAGAGGGCCAGGAAGATGATGATGAATGTGTTAATACTAATGTTGAAAAGGTCTCTTCTCAATCTTGGTTGGGGGTTTTTGCATCACGCTATCCGATATATATATTCTGATACTTATTTTCATTCAAGTTCTAATAACAGATTTTCGCTTGTGTGTTAGGAAATTGACAACAACAACAACAAGTGGGGTCGACTAACCAAGAAGAAGAAGACCAGGATGCCTCTAGGTGGAACAAAAAGGGTGAGGGCAACTCCAGGAAGCGATACAGTTCCTAGAGTTTCAACAAGGTCTGGAAAAAAGTACAGCACCAACTTCCAACAAGGCAGTGCTGAGGACCAGTTAAATCCATAGCCTGAGAACAATGAAACAACCCCTATGGTGCAAGGCGAAGAAGAAGATCATCCTGCCAGTCCTGTTCTAGACTGGTCTGCTTTTGATGAGCAAACTAATGTAGATGAACATGCTATCTCTAAACATTTAGAGATTGTTCCTGAAGGCAAGTAACAGATCATGCATTCTCACATTCTTTGATTTAACTGTGGACTTCTCTAACACTCTCAGCGCAAATTTTGTAGGTCCACGACGTGCTCCAAGACAACCAAGACCTCCAACGAAGGGCAAATTGCTGGACAATATGACAAAGGCTATGGGAAGAAGGTTGCCGATTGAAATTGCTCCAGGGAAGAAAAGGCCTAAGAAGTCTATACAAGCTGCTAAGCTATCTTCAGAGGCTGGACTTGTCATTAGGTCTAGCATGCCTATCCTAACTCATTGGAAAGAATACAAGAAGAATGAAGAAAACCATTTGAAAGAATTCATGGGCCAGTTATCTGTAAGTAAATTGATACATTCCATATCTATTTGGTACTTTCCATAAGTCATTGTATCAAATGTTAATAGCTAAATCTCATGGCTAATTGACTTCTACAGACCAGGTTGGTTGTTGATGAAAATGATGAGCCAACAAAGAAAGCCTACACCAATCTACTCCAATCTGGGGTACGCCAGAGTAGATATTTATTGAAGAAGAAGTACTTCATCGGTGTCCTGGCTAATCAAGTCAGAACAACTTCCCCTGTTTCGAGTCTGATTGATGACCAGTGGCTTAAACTCATGGCTAAGTGGTCTAGTCCAAAAGGGAAGGTATGATGTGCCATAAGACAACAACTTCTCTATTCTGTCTATTTTATCTGCAACTTACATGTTTGCCTTTCAGGAAGTAGCTGCGAAGAACAAGCGCAACCATACTAAGGTCAAACACCATCAGCCGATGGGATCTCGCAGCTACATCTCACACTTGTACACATATGTAAGTGCTAAAAATCTGGTACAATACATTTCCTGTTTGTGTGTAGATACAAAAGCTAATTTTTTAGCATTTCTTTCTCAAACTAAATACAAAGGGAGAAAAACAAGGAACGAGACGTCAATGCAGTAGAGATGTTCAAGGAATGCCATACCAGCAGAAGAAGGGTATGACGGATCAAGTTAAAGAGACAGTTGTAAGTCCCTACACATCATTGCTGGATGGGTTGAGTACATATGTCAATTTATATTCATAATTGGTTGCTGGATGTGATTAACACATGGAAAGGATACTCATTTGTATGATGTGTGTGGATGGTCCTATCTATGCTTGTGAAATTGGTTTTTGGATGGGACTAACACATGATTGCTGGCTGGGATTAGTACATAGAAAAGATGTTCATACATGCTTACACCTATATATGTAGTTATATGTTTTGTGTGCTTGGATTCTCATATGCTTGCTGAAATGGAAAGTTATTGGATAGGATGTTCAAATCTAAAATGTGTCATGGCAATTTAATGTAGATTTAGCTCAAGTGCTTATATATATATATATATATATGCACCTATATGTTTTGTGATGATTTTCATATATGTGCTCATATGCTTGCTGAAATGGGAAGTTATTGGATACGATGTTCATATCTGTAATGTGTCATGACAAGTTAATGTAAATTCAACTCAAGGGCTTATATATATATATATATGCACCTATATGTTCTCTTATGGTTTTCATATCTTTGCTTGTAACATGGATTCTCTGATGATTTTCATATCTTTGCCTATAACATGGATTCTGTATAATTAACTTATCATTTTTGCATCTTTATGCTGTAGAGTGCCATGGAAAATATGTTGGACCCACCTGCTGAAGGTTTAGAGACACCAAGATCTAGTACTGAAAATGTTTCCACGGTCCTTTCACAAACCAGTGCTACTTCTACATTCCTGAAGAATGCTGGTCTTGAAACACCAGGGTCAAATCTTGCATCAGCTGCAAGAGAAGCACAACTTCGGGAACAGCTACAGGCGGAGAAGATACGGGCTAATCTACTTCAACAAGAACTCGATACCCTGAAGAAGAAAGGTGAAGAAACAGAAGAATCATTGGCCAAGACCCAAGAAGTTATGCGTAGGACCCAGCAAGAGATGGAGGAGTTCAAGAAGAAACAAGAAGCGAATGATCTGATTATTCAACGCATCTTGAACCTCAACTTAGGTAATAGAGCTACTTAGCTTCTTTGTTTCTGTGCTTGCTGGGTTCCTCTACAGTGCCTTGGTGCTGAGCAGTGTGGTTACGTCGCCTGTGAACTTTGTCAGTTATGTCGCTTGTGAACTTGGTACCTTTGCTTGGGAACTGATTTGTTTGTGAACTGGTGGTTCCAATGATGTGAACCAATGGTGTGTGTGAACTTGTGAACTTATGGTTCCCCTGTGTATGGGAACTTTGGTTGTATGAACATTAAGTTTGTGATGTATGAACCTATGTTTGTGCTTGATTTATGAACTTGTGCTGGATGTGTGAAAATAAGTTCTTTTTCTAGAATGATTGCTGAGGCTAGGCACGAATGGTACTGCCTGTGCATTATATAAATTCATCAAATTTTTATGACGAAAAACAAACGTCATTATGTAACAGATGCCACGTCATCGCTCACATGCTGCCATGTCATCTGCCTCATGCTACCACGTAAATGCACAAGAGAGCACCACATGTCAACCATGTAATTATACACGTGTCAACCTCCTCACCATACATGTGTCAACCTTGTCATCATACACGTGTTGACCTCTCCATCATACATGTGTACGCTGGAACGCCGACTGAAACATTTCAGTGACGGGGGCAAAATCATCATGTTTGTAACGATATCTATGACGAAATACACCAAATCGTTAATGTGCAATAGTTATGACTCTACAAAGGTGACGAACATAATTTTGTCATAACTTCGTCATAGATATATTTCCATGACATTTTTGGCCTTTACTATGACAAAAGTGAAATGCCTTAGATGTGGACTTTTTGTGCAGACAGTTTTATAATTGTGTCATGGAGACATGAACAGCCAACTAAAAGTTCGTCATACATGTTTGCATTATATACAAATACAATGCGCCATAAATAGATGAATAACATGGCACATGGCTTAGGCTCTATTTGGCATGGCTCCAAATAGATCTACCTCCTTGCTTTATTGTGCAAAGGAGCCAAAGGTCAAGTCAAAAATAATGGTTTCACTAGCTCCTAATTTATTTTGAGAAGGGAGATGAAAATGGCTCGTTGCTATAGTACACAGAAGAGCCAGAGGCAAAACAAGCCAGAGCTCCACCAAACGGGGCCTTAGTTCAACTCCAAGAGGCTCAGTGAACCATTCAATGAAGTTTCTCTTTGTATATCTCTCGTGCCTCCAACAAACTCTCTATTTTTTGTTCTCAATATTCAGATATTTTGTCATAATTTTCCTTATGTAAAAAACCATGTCAAAACTACCATATATACATTGCATTTAGAAAGTGATCTACCTCTCCAAAATTAGAGAGCAAGAAGAGTGGTTTTGGAGAGCGGGAATGATGGAGAGTGGTTTAGGGAGTCTATTGAAGCATGTTTTTGGTATATTTTCTAAATTTAGTGATAAAGAGCCATATATAGAGCCTCTTGGAGATGCTCTTAGTGAGATAGATAGAATTAACATAGAAACAATTGTGGAAATGAGTAGAATGAGGTACCTCTCCTGGTACTCGGTTACATGTTAATATAGATCAGGAAGCCCTTGACGGCTTATACAACAAGAAGGTTACAACAAGATAGATTACATGGAGCAACAAACTCCCACCTTGGACTGCAAACCAAGGTATGCGCTAGGTACATCCTAACAACCATGTATGGGGTAATGCAAATCACCATGTACGCTCTTGTGACATAATTAGTCCTTCCTTGGATCTCTTCACTTCTATCCCAAGAAAGTAATGCAAATCACCAAGATCCTTGAGCACAAACTCACGCTCCAGATCTTTAAGTAGAGTACTAGATGCCTCTAGTGAAGAGCTTGCCACAATAATATCATCAACATACACTAGCACAAACAAAGTGTGTGTCCCTTTGTTGTAGTAGAAAAGTGATGTGTCTGCCTTGGAAGGTGTGAAACCCAACCGACAAGCTTGCTGCACAACCATGCATACCATGCACGTGGAGCTTGCTTGAGTCCATAAAGGGCCTTGTCCAACTTGCATACATAATATGGTTTCTTCTTATCTTTGTATCCGGGTGGTTGATGCATATACACTTCCTCTTCTAGCACACCATGAAGAAAAGCATTTTGTACATCAAGTTGACACAATGACCACCCCTTGGACATAGCAATGGACAAGATGAGCCAAATTGTAGCAGCTTTGACTATAGGATTGAACGTGTCCTCGTAATCGAGTCGATACCCCTGCTTGTAGCCCTTCGCAACAAGTCGTGCCTTTATATCTATCAATGGTGCCGTCTGCCCTTTTCTTCACCTTATAAACCCACTTACATCCAATGATGTTCTTCCCCTTTGGAGGTGGTACTAGACGCCATGTCTTGTTACGCATTAGTGCACCATACTCATTATTCATGTCCGACACCAATTTTTCATCTCCAAATGCCTCAGCAACTGTAGTAGGTTCCTATGCAGCAGATGCACCAAGCATACACCAGCAAACTATGCCATCAGTTTGTATTTTTGGTTTGCGTATACCTTGCTGAAGTCTGGTAGAAGGGCGATCCTGAATTCTTGGGGCGGCAGCAACATCCGTTGCCATAGGATCTCCAGCCGCACCGGATCTAGGTGAATCTACCTAGGAAGGCGTCCTCCCTTGTTCGGATCGGCCTGTGGCAGCGCAGCGACTACACCATCATCCAACACAACGGGCGGAGGCGAAGTAGGCGTAGAAGATCACGCCCCAACACGGGAGAGGAAGGCGACGCTGTCGCGGATCCGGAAGATGATCCCGACAGAATCGTGACTCCTGGCGTAGTCGCGGTAGGTGTATCATCATTGGATCACGCGCCAGGGCTGCCTCCTGATAGGGGGCACATGAAATAACGACGTCTTTCACCCGTTTCTTCACCTGAGCTGAACGAATTTGTTCCTGTAACATCAGCAACAACTAGAGCATTGTGTGTAGCATTAGTATGTAGAGAACTAACCACCGTTTGATCATGCAAAGATGTATCCCCAAAACTAGCTGAGGGATTAAGGAGAACATTAGGAAGAAGTGCCAACTCCGCACAGAGCCGGGCAATGGCGTTAGGATGAAGGGTGGTGAAGGGAAAGACTGATTCATCAAACACCACATCCCTAGAAACATACACACGCCCTTCTGAGGGATCCAAACATTTGAACCCTTTGTGTAGATTACTCTATCCAAGAAACACACAACGCTTGTATCAGAACGCAAGTTTCTTGGAGATGTAAGGCCGTAGGTTTGGCCACACGGCACAACCAAACACCCTAAGAAAAGAATAATCTGGTGCTTCACCGAAAAGACGTTCATAGGGGGTTTCATTGTTGATCACTCTAGAAGGAAGGCGGTTAATAAGAAAGACAGCAGTGAGGAATGCCTCATCCCAAAATTTTAACAACATGGATGCGTGTGTAACAGAACCGACCAAATCATAAGAACGTAAGTACAAAAACAATCACCGAAGTGATCAAATTCCTGTACTTAAGCTCCCATAATCCCGGTAGTCCGGAAATCACGAAGGATTTCAACCAACTCTCGACATACAAACCAAGACCGTAGTGATTCAACACAACACATCATTCGTTACAACATTTCACAAGTAGCATTCGGATTACATCCACCAGAGTTCAAAATAAAATATTACAAACCAAGTTCAAATCTGCGGAAGCAACATAGTTTAGTACATAACTTCATAGTTTCAAATACATTGCCAGATCTTAGTCATGTCCCACAAAAGCATCTTCAGATACGAGAACTAGGAGAGACTGTGCCCAACGGTCTAGTCTTCATCCCCAGCCGGGAGAAGGCAATACTTGCAGCAATCAAAGTAGAACTGGTCACCTGCAACAGGTGGGAGATAAACCCTGAGTACGAGAAGGTACTCAGCTAGACTTACTCGACAAAACCAGAAATAAAAGACACCAAGGATCATGCAAGGCTTAAGAGGTGGGCTAGCTGGACACAGTTGCATAAAAGAGCTTATGAAGATAGTGACCAATTTAAACTTAGCATCAAGCTTATCATCATTTACCTGTCCACTAGATTAGCACCTATACTAGAGCACTCACTTATTAGGAGCAAACAATATTAACCATAGCAAGTATAATAAGGATGTCATCATCATATCATCATTTCCGAACCATTATGTTATTTAGTGTATCTACTTTGGAGATAAGCCCGTTAAGTTCTCACTAACCGGGAGAGACGGCGACTCGAATCGAATTACAACTCAGCTGAGGGGGTATTCCTAACTCTCACCCTGGCATACTTTGCAAGGGTAGCCATGGGTCACCTTTGGAACAACTCAGGAACCAAATTCGTGGGTTCGATCAGTGCCAGCACTCTCAGGGATTACCCTTCTGCCAGGATGATCAGGACTTTTAAATCACCTGCCCTTGGACTCACGTCTACAGCTCCCTTCCGAGGCGCACTTTATACTTATCGACTCCCGGCCTAAGGTGAGCTACTCGGCTTCATGGTCGGTCTCCAGACCCGGCCAACTAAGAGAGAGGCATGCGTTCAACATGAACAGGAAAGGCTCCAAGATTCAGTCCTTAAGCGACACAGACGGAGTCACTGCAAACCGGCAAGCCTCCGTCCGGTCTTCATTTCAAATTAAGACTGGTTCTTTTCCACGATAGCAAATATAGCCAACCGTGTCATATGTATCTTCCTATATCTCGTAGGTGACAGGAAATCACCTGACTTCTACCATGTTTAAGCAGGGCTAAGCACTACACGAACCTGGACTACATAGGATTCAGGGTATCAATATCTGGACAAGGATTGGATAATCAATGCAGCAAGTGTTTGCATCCAACACCTAAACTTAATGCAACAATATATATATATGTAACAATAATACTTTAACTGCATTTCGGAAATTAGGAGGCTTAATATGTTCCGGGGCTTGCCTTTCACAAAGTTGCACGGACGGTGATCCGGGCACTCAACGGCGACCTCATCTGGTACTTCTCCTAAAGGCTGCACCTCCTGAACCTCCGGTGTTGGCTGCTGCT